TTATTTATTAATAACATTAAATCTAATGTCATTAATAAATAAGAGGCAACATTGCGGCACAGTGGTTACAGCTGTCCCCACAGGTTAACAGAACTCACCTGCCTCACATAAAGTAGGTTCTGGGCTTAAACCCCTTTGTGGTTTCTTTGCTCTTTTCTACTCAGTTGATTACTCAAAGCACTTTCTTACTGCAAGTCTCACTCACCCAATCACACACATCTATGCCTAAGCACTTTCCCACGTTCACTCAAACTGATTCACCGCGGCAACGCGAGGATACTTTATCATTTACAATTTGAACTGATTTTCTGATTGGTAGACAGCCGACTCTACCACCTAAGGCCTGATTTAGACTTCTGTGTTAGGGCTGTTCGATATAACGATATATATCGAATGACGATATAAAAACGTCTATCGTTTCATTTTACGCTATCGTTTGTTTCATGGTGTCGCAAAATAAACTGTTTACGGCAATATTTTTTCACCGTTCTGATGGTCACTGTAGTGGCTATATTAATTTCTTAAAGTTCTCTCTTTCTCTTATATTTAATATAACCACACTACTGATGGACAAGCGCCTGTTTTTATGCGTTGTGGTTAGCAACAACGACAGTAACACCATGGCGTGTCCGCTTGCTTATGTACCACATAAACCTTTCACAATAAAGCTCAAGATCCTGTTGAGACTTTTCAAAATAAACTGAATCACGTGAAAGAGCAGATTATTTATGGATGAGAAGTAAAAAAAAGAGCCGCCAGGTGCTAAAAAAATAAATAAGCAGTGTCAGCTGATAGAAAAAAATAAATAAATGTTGGGACTTCTTTCTCTCCTGGCCTGCTCTTTGTTGTGGTCAGATTTCTCTGGGCAAACCGATTTGTCCCTCTAGACTTTTTTGTACATTCTCACACGTCCATTCTGATAGTTTCCAGTAATTTTCTGATATTTGTGAGTCCTTACAGTGATGCTAGGGTTATTATTCCTAATAAACAGGCAATGATTGTTAAATTCAAAAACTGTAGCAAAAAAGGAGCCATAAATGCACAAAAGGAAATAACGGTACTAAACAGGCCAATCAAGGCAGCTGCAGGCTGCGTCAAACTGCCGTGTAGTTACATTTCCAGCAAGATGTACGTCAGGTTACGCCATAAGGTTTCAGATGGGTTTGCAGTTATGGCGTAAATTTCCAACTGAAGCATTAGCCACAGTCTCCCTGGGTACTCCAGCTTCCTTCCAGAGTCCACAGAAAATCGACTGTAGGCATAAATTTCAATAGTTGTCTGCCCTTCTGTGTCAGCCGATCAACAGGCTGCTGACCGGCCCAGGATGTACACTGGTTGTCTTTACAGTGGTTGCCTGTCCCTTTTAAAATGATAGACCTTCTACACCTATACACTCCACAAAGGTCTCTCAGATAAACTGACAAGTCACTCCTTGCTGTCCCCATGTCGAGACTGAAACACTGGGGGGACGGAGCTTTCGCTGTTGTGGGCCCTAAATTATGGAATAAGCTGCCCCTCCATATTAGGCTGGCCCCAACACTTGAAATGTTCAAATCACTTTTAAAAATACACCTTTTTTCCAAGGCTTTTTAGGAGTAGTACTAGAGTCAGCTTTTAGTCAGTTTTAGGTCACTCTTAATCTTTTTATTTTGTTAATTTTATTCCTTGTATATTTTATTGTCCGTTTTACTCATGTTTTATATTTAATATATACTGATTTATTTTTATCTTCCTTTTTTCACTTATGTATTTATTTTATTGTTATTTATATATACTTCTTTTTCTGCTTAATGCATGTTTTTTTAACTGTTATCTCTGTTTTTTTTTAATTACTGGAAAGCACTTTGGTCAACTATGTTGTTTTTAAACTGCTCAATAAATAAAGTTAGATTGGACTGGATTGGATGTACCCCACTTCTCACCCCATGACAGCTACGTATTAATAAAAACACCAAAGATAAAAAGAATGCCAAGAATGAACTTTCTTACCTTTTGAGATCAATTTTCTTTTTATGTCTGGGTGTATCCCGGCTCCCATAGGGAAAGTTTTTAATGAAGTGCTGCTTAAAATCTCCCAGGTATTCTTTACGGAACCACGCATCCTAAAGAAAACAAAAATATCTGTGAGGTTGATCAAACATTTACATTAAAATAAAATGAAAAAACAAAACAAAAACAAAAGACATGCAAGTCACATCTCACCAGTGCATCCTGGTTCTCCCGCTGTGGGGCCAGTTTTCTCAGCAACTGCAGAATAGACAAGACCTGGAACATTACTGACATGGCATCTGGAGTGAGTAGGTGGGCCCCCTCTGTGTTATTCCACGGGCTGTCATTGGTGCTGGCCTCGACCCACACTTCCAGCAGGAGAGGCACAAGAGTAGCTGCAAACTTTTGAACAGTCTCAGCTGAGTCTAGACCCTCACTTACTGTAGCTCCTGGATCCTGCTCAGGTCTGCACAGTGAAAGAATAAAAAAAAAAAACAAATGAAAAAACAAAACAAACAAAAAAAAAGAAGCTTAAACTGAACTATTTCTGGACGGCTACTAAAGTCAGAGATTTCATACCTAAGTTTAAAGGTGGAGTGTGGAGTTGGTTTGGCCCCAGAATGTTCATAAATCTTAACTCCAACCTTGCTGTACGTTAGCTCTTCCCAGTTGAGATGAAGAGGTGTAAATCGGCCCTCTCCACTAGAACCAAAAACTCTTTCAGTTGGGACAGACATATCACTTTCCTCCGTTGGTCTTTCCTCAACAACTGCCTGGAGAAAGCGCCCAAGCCTGAGATACAAGTACAACAAACAGGAAGATTGGGATTCAGAGTTATTCACTTAGATTTTTCCTGATTGTGTTTACATGCAGCTTCCATACCTGAGAAGAACAGAAAGCCGCCACTGCTGGCTCGTCACAGCCCTGTTAGGGTTGATGGACAGCGCCCAGGTCCAAGCCTTGGAGTCTGAAGCTTTTTTGGCTCCTCCACTGTTCTGTCTGTGAGAGATCATCTCTAGGAAGTTAGTGAGGAGAACTGCAGGCCGTGCGGCTAGCAGAGCAGGGTAGTGCTCTAGGAACACGTCGAGGACATTTATGGCATCCTCCTGGATTCCTGTCTCGATATGCGTCATAGCACAAGACAAATGAGCACTGAGGAGGGGGAAAAACGGTGCCACGCGTTCTGCAGGCACACACTGTGCAATATACCTGTAAGCAAGTTAAAACAAGTTTGTTTACTTTAGACACATTTAAACAAAGAAAAAAAATGTGTTTGTTGTAGTTTTGACATGCTTGTCTAACCTGAGCACACGTGCAGCTGCCACACGAACATTGTGATCCTTGTCTGTTAAAACAGCTGCCACTTCTGAAAGCAAGCGTGAAAGATGCTGCTCTAACAAAGAGGGACTGATGGACAGCAACTCTTTCAAACCTAACAAGGCACTGTGTTTCACATTCGCGTTGTAATGGTGCAGCTGAGACAGGAGGTCCTGTGGAAGGAGGGAATAAAATGAGATAAATTTGTTTCTGTTGTTCTTCTTCGTTTGGCTGCTCCCTTTAAGGGTCACCACAGTGATCATATGCCTCCTCACAGTAAATGTCTCCAAACCATAGATCACAGCACTCTTGCAGCTTTCCTTCAGTCAAAAATCACCCATCTCCGTCCACTGCATGCACTCTTTTCTTCACATCTTATGTACACTGTCTGTTGCTTTGCATGTCTGACACCAGGTATTTAAACTCATCCACCTTCACAACCTCTAATCCTTGCATCTTCGCCTTTCCACCTGCCTCACTCTCATTCACACACATTTATTCTGTCTTGCTTCTAATGACTTTCATTCCTCTTCCGTCCGCAACATATTTCTACTTGCTCTCTACTCTCACTACGGAAGAAGACGAACTTGTTATATTCAATGAAACAAGCCTATAGCATGCTTTTTTTTAAACTTGCTAAAATCTGAAAAGATCTCAGATCTTACATTAATACCGAGCTGTTTGTGTGTTGTGGGTCCACTCGTGTCTCTCTTTAGCTGCTCAGACAGATAGATCCCCTTGGACCGAAAGTTGGTGTTGGTGGCGTTATCAGCTCTGGGCTTCTTCTTTCCCACTTTTAGCTTCACTTTCTGGAAGTCATCCTGCCTCTTCTTCTTTTTGGCCTTCATCTCTGCAGTCTAGACTGCTGTCAGTGTAATGACACATGAAGGTAGCGGGAAGTGAATTAATGCACTCATTTTAATGACACATAAACCTATGGTAAATCGAACACGTATCAATAATAACATAATTTGTGTCAGGACCATTAACATTGTTATTTTTACTCTCAATAGTACATTTCGATACTCAGCAGCACAGCTAGCTTGCTTTGCTAACTTATCTATCATTTCCCTGCAACAGTTTTTAGCGGTAGTAGTTAATTGTACTCACCACAATAAAAATGTCTGCAGTCTAAAGTCGGAAATTTACACTACATAAAGCATCCATTAAAATGTGTCCACCCGGCTAACGACTAAACATACACACACATAAACAAAGAAAATGATCTTTATTCGGTCTCGTGTGGCTACATTGGGTCCTTTGATTATCTGTGTGTACATGGTCACAAAGAGTGCGCCTTAGATGTGTGCACTTCAGCTGCTGCTCCTGCGGGGCTTATAATAAATGAAACCATCAAACTGGGGAAAAGTGCGAGTTTATAGCTGCTCGAGCGTCATCATGTGCGCAAACTTGAAATAAAATGAAAAACACAAGCCTTCTTTTCTTAGGTAATTCACTATTTCTCTTCAATTTTGCTGCTGGACGCTAATGCGGTGTATAAAATAAACGCACCAAAAAAAAGCTGCCCTCGAAGATGCCTTGGAACAATTAACTTAATAGTTTATAATAAAATTGAAAGCACAAATAAATGATAATAATTGTCATTTTGTTTCCTCTAAGAGAATAGATTAGGTCTTTCTGTGAAGCGCGGACACAAAATAGCGCTACATCATGTTTTGGTTTTGGTTTTTTTTAACCGGCGAGTTCATCAGACTACAATCTTCTCCCGAAGCTCGGTTTGTATTGTATTCTCCTTTCACCTTGAGCTAGGAGGAACTCGCGGTTTGCACTTAATTATCTCGTGTAAGTTTGATAATATAATACACTTGATTACGTTATGTGGATAGCTATCATATGTGGCGTTTGCGGTCGCTAAGATGTGTCTTACAGGCACATTTTCTTTTCAAATAATTTATGTAAATTAAGGCTCTGCTTGTGGCCCTCCCACAGCTAACAGCGCTAACATTTGATGATTAAAGAAACGAGACGTCTTTAAATCTTTTTGTTTTTTAAATAAAACTACGACGCATTGAAGTTTGTTTGGGCGATACTGCAGAAAATTGTGTTTCTGGTGATAATATTTAACTAAAAGACAACACTTTTGAGACTCCCTGTTTCGTTGTTGTTCCTGCATTCAAATGATAATTATAAGCAAAATAGATATGAATTACTTAAATACAAATATAAGATAATTAAAACTGAGTTTTCAATATTACAAGATTTTTTTTAAAGGTGGCCCTTTCTTCTTTTGTATTTGTATTACTTAGATTTATTTCCGCCTACGCTGCTACCTAATCAGAATCAGAATGGGGTTTATTGCCAAATATTGAGCAGGTTTACAACATTAGGAAATTGCTGCGGTGCTTCAGTGCAAACATAGTGTCATAAATAGCATTTAAATAGACATGGAAAAAAATAAAAGTAGGGATAAGAATTAAAAGTGCTACGTGGAAAGATATGTGCATGAGATATACATGAGATATATACATGAGAATAAGAATTAAGAGTGCTACGTTGAAAGATATATACATGAGTGCAGGTGGTGATCAGTGCCAATCATGGAATGATGCAGTGACGCAGCGTAGGGTCATGTGTTAGTGGCGGGTACAGTCATATGGTTATTGTTCATGTGTCCAACAGCAGAGGGGAAGAAACTGTTCTTATGGCGAGAGGTTCTGGTGCGAATGGACCGGAGCCTCCTGCCTGAGGGTAGCAGGTCAAACAGACTGTGTCCAGGGTGAGAAGGGTCAGCTGAGATCAGAGCTGCACGCCGCAGTGTCCTGGAGGTGTACAGGTCCTGCAAAGATGGGAGTCTGCAGCCAATCACCTTCTCAGCAGAGCACACAACACGCTGCAGTCTCTGTTTGTCCCTGATAGTGGCTCCAGCGTACCACACGGTGATGGAGGAGGTGAGGATGGACTCGATGATTGCAGTGTAGAACTGCATCATCGTCCGTGTTGGCAGGTTGAATTTCTTCAGCTGCCTCAGGAAGTACATCCTCTGCTGGGCTTTCTTGATGACGGAGGTGATGGTGGGCTCCCACTTCAGGTCCTGGGTGATGGTGGTACCCAGGAAGCGGAATGAGTCCACAGAGGTGATGGGGGTGTCAGTCAGGATGATGGGGGGGAGTGGGGCTGTGTGCTTCCTGAAGTCCACAATAATCTCCACTGTCTTCTGGGCATTCAGCACCAGGTTGTTGTGGCTGCACCAGGACACCAGACGTTCAACCTCCCTCCTGTAGGCAGACTCGTCCCCGTCCGAGATGAGTCCAATAACGGTGGTGTTTTCACCAGTACTGTTGCTGTTCTGTTTCGTTGATAAAGTTATTAAAATATTGAAAAAAGAAATCTAAGATCGTTTAAAAAGTATTGTCTGTAGTAACAATACTGCCCTTTGTTTTGAATGGCTAGTCCTCGAAAGCACATGTAGATGGGGTGTAGCACGTTTCCCAAAACAAATTTAACAGCTAATCACCTGGCTGGATCAGAAAGTCGCAACTTAGAGAAAATGTTATAAATTTATAAATTCTCCTTTTTGTTTTTTGCAATCAGATAAACATTATCAAACTCTAAAATATAGTATAGATTTGCATATTTTAAAAGACGTTACATATCTTACAACATATAGTGTGATCCGAGGACGAGTGATTAACACATCAAGATTTGAGTATTCACCCTTGTGAAGTCCCCGTGATCTTATCACAGTACTAATGCAGCCACCATATTTTGTGGTGGCTGTAGCTCAGGAGGGTAGAGGAGATCATCTACTCAGGTTGGCTGCTCCAATCTGCATGCCAGATGAGACGGTGAATCCCAAGTTGCTCTCAGATGCGTTCATTTGAGTTTGAATGTGTGTGTGTATGTTGGACAGAAAGCAGGTGTAGAAAAAAGTGCTGAATGGGTGAATGAGGCATGTTGTGTAAAAGAGCTTTGAGTGCTCGCGTAGAGTATTTATACTATTGTGATTGTCAGTATGTTTTATCCAACAAAATGAAGTTATCTCACTTCATTTAATTTTTACTGAGATTGTATAAACATACAACAGCGTCACTAAAACCTGCTATAAGTATTGCTATTCATTTTGTCAATTATTACTGATTACATGCAATTTGTTTATAACACAGCAGTTAACTGTGGTAAATTGTTGGAAATCGTGAAAATCGTGTATCTGCCTAAACATGGGCACAAATTCACATTTAACTATTACATTTATACTCAGCAACCTTTTTTTCCAACAAGAATATAAGCAGACTACAACCAGCTTGCAGTCAGTTATGTCGAGTACCCTCGAATTGTGCTCACTACTCTTCAGTTATGGAAAACCTATACCATGAAGCCCCTTGGGCAATGTTTTCATGCTGATGTCAATGCCACAGGAGGTTTGGAGCTCTGCAGTTACTGAGTCAGCAGAGCACTGGTGGCTTTTACACACTATCCATCTCAGCGATACTGCTCTGTAACTTTACATGGTCACCGATTGTGGAATATCTATTAGGGAAGAAATTTCACAAACTGACTTTTGCAGTGGTGTTATAGTATATTAGGAAATGTTTTTGTCCATATAGTGTATTTTGGACTGAGAAAAACATAATTGTTACAATTGCAGTTAGCTCACAATGCTGCTGATTCCATGTACCAGTTGATTCCCAAGAAATAGTTGGAAGAATTATCATATAACCTTTTAAATTGCTACATAGCATGTTGGTCCTCTTTAAAATATTGTTTCTCACATATAAGTGCTTGCATGGGCTTGCTCCAAGTTATTTATCCGATCTCTTACAATCCCATGTCCCATACCTCTATGATCAGCAGCTTTTAGTAAATTAAAATTCCCAGTTCAGAGCTCTACTTTGCTCACCCTATCACTAAAGAAAAGCTCATCCACTTTTCAGAGAAAGCGCATTTCTGCCACTTGTATCTGGAGTCTCATTCTTTCATCTTTAAAAGAATTAACAATTATAGTGTTAACAAAAAATCAGACCTAGAGTAACAGATTTGTGGCATTTTTCAACACCGATGCTCCATCTAGTGACAGATGGCTGCATAACAATTTAGCAGCATTGGGCATCACTTAAAAAATTTAATTTAGAACAATTAGATTAAACAACGAGTATGTTTAATGTTGACTAGTGACACAGCGACGATTAGTCAACTGGTTGCACGCATCCCTAGTTTTAACTGTGCAATTAGTTCTAGTATGTGTAATGATTTGATAACCAGCAATAAGACATCATTTGTCTTGTAGTGACAAAGCTGAGGAAATGGAGGATGAGAATTCAGGAAACCAGCCTCCACCACAAAGTGGGCCCCCAAATCCAAAGAAGAATCCAAAGGTAAGTGTCAGTCCTTGGCTCTACTTCAGTGCCACATGAGCCCAAGTGTGCAGTATCAAAAACCTAAAGTAAAAATGTGGGATTTCCTATAATATCCCCCCATCCTCCCCAAATTTTGCTGTTGTGGTACCTGATGGAGTGCCGGGGTGCAGCAGCCCTGAACTTGTGGGCTTCCTGCTTGCTCCTGTGCCATCAGGCCTGCTTCATTTGCAGTCTTGTTACTGAAGACAATATTCACTGGCTCTGGCCTCACGTCTGCGGCCTGTCAAACCTGTTGTGGTTTAAAGAATTGTTGTTTTGTTTGTTTGTTTTTAACACTGGTTTTATTCACGTTGGTGTTCCGAATATATTCTAAAGTGAGATAAACTGGCTTCTCTTAAACGGTACCACATGGCAGGCCACTCATTTTTTACTACTGAGCGCTGTCACATTCAAAAGTGGTAGTCACGGATCACTTGCTGATTCAAATCCTCGAGGACTTAAAGTCAATGGCGACATATCCAGTCCAGTTTTTCCCTAAGAGACGTTGTTACATCACTGCTCAATTAAACGGCAGGTAGTAGACACGTCACCGTTCTGTACAACCACTGTGCATGAGGTTAAAAACTCAAAGGTTCATTATTTGCTACAAAAATTATGATCTCCCACCAGTGAACAAAGCTCCACTGGTGAAGTCAGTACTTTACAGCAGAGTACCCTCAGTCCTGGATTTCTATCTCCAAACCACACTCTCCTGGTGTTTATCAGTAACATGCAGTTACTTAAAATGTAAATTAGCTGCAAAACAGTAAATCACTGCAGGAATTACAGTGATTATTTACATTTCTGCTTAGATATTTAACTTCAATAATCTAAACTCAGTGTCTTCAATTTTTGGCTGCTTATGTCTGTCTTATCTCCTTTTGCTTATCTTGAAGAAAGTTGTATGCTTGGAAATATGTTTTCTTTATTAGTAGGTATCCTCAAATGAAGTGGCGTCCACCTCAGCACCTGCCTCTAACGGGAACCACCTCCATATTTCACACAGCTGACATCACTCTTATCATTGAAGGGGGTGTATGTTTAGTTGTTTCCAAAGGGTTTCTGTTTGCTGTTGTCTGTCAAGCTCAAATTTGGGGCTTTCAAACACATCACACTGACCACAGTGCACGGTGGTAGAAGAGCATGTTCTCTTCTACCAGTTTCATTGTCAGATCGCTGAGGTCTTGACCTCAGCCTCCCTCAGTGCGGCCACTGCGGCAGGTGTAACAACCCAGTTTCTTCCCTGTAGTAACAAATTGTTGCTGGTCTACATTCTCACTTGGTGAGGATTTAGACACCATTTATACACATTCCTGTGACTGTCACTGCTTAATGCAGGCGTCAAAGAGGATGAGAACGTAATGGTTGTGTGGCGGACCTGGACAAGGAGTTCAGTCCTCTGCTTAGTGTCATCCTGTCACTAATTTCCTGTGTGTCTCTCTCCTTCTCGTGGGTTTATTCCCTCTGCTGACAGAGAAGGCAGCTGCAGCATTCTGCTGATATAGGTAAGTCCTTTTACACACGGTGCCACTTCCAGTGTTGAGAGTTGAAGCTTGAGACCTTGGTTTCCATGCTTCATGTCACGTGTGGTGGCATGTTCACCACTCAGTGAGGCTCACAACCTCAGAGATTTGAGGATGGGGGTGGTGAGTCTTATGTGGTGCAGTCTACTGTTTTGGTCTTTGGAGATCACTGCAAAAGTATTCACGCAAAACATTTCCTGCTTAAAAGTTTCCTATTTAGAAGTCCAGTTTTCGGAATGGTTTTTGGACGTTTTCTAAATAATTTTAATAACAACCCAACCCAGTCTCATTAAGATGTTGCTACACTGAAGAGCAGCACCATTATCCTTAAAAGCGCACGACACATGGCTTATGCTACCATGCATCTGCACTGGTTACTAATTAAGTTTTAATGCACTTGTTTCTTTTTAATACTGCTGAATGCAATATCAATTTTTTACCAGTTGCCTGTGTTACACTGGCTTGACTTTGTTTTTAAATTATGTGTTAATTTTATCGTGCGTTTGCAAAAGGAATGCTTTGGTGAATGCAACACAGAAGTTACCGCTCTGCGGCTGCGCACGGTGAGAAGCAGTGCATCACGGGATGTGTTGTTCTGCAGCTCAGTTTGGGCCTAAATGGGGGTTAACTTAGAGCTCCTGTTATTTTTTGTTTGTTTGTTTTTTCTCCCAAGCGCACATGGGAAGTTTGGGTTGATCCATCCATGTAAAATCTGGAATAAATTCCAGTCCATTAAACATTGCAGGTTGTGAAACAGTACAGTATAATTGCAATTAGTTTTTTACTAGTTTTCAGGATATGTCTTGTTTTAGTTATAAATTCAGCCTCTACTTAATGCTGACCACTATTATGTTTTCCCAGTTTTCTCCAAAGGATCTTCTATCCATACTGTGCCCTCGCTCAACAAAATCTTGAAGGGTATCACAGACTGTGTGATTGGTAAGCAGCGTAGGGATTTTCCTCACATCTATCTACTTTACCTCCTCTCCTTCTTGCATAAAGAAGTGAATAATCAATAATCATTGTGTCTGCAGGCCTTCAGTATGTGTGGGAGTACCGCAGCCCCAGTAAATCTGTCCCTCCACACTACCAGTGCAAACTGTGCGCCATGGCCAGCTTGCAGCATGACATTGTTGACCATGTGAAAGGCTGGAAACACTGCTATAGATACATGGTGAGTGTTGTCTGTTTCAAAGTCTGCACACGAGGTTGCAGAATCATTTGCATTGTTTTATTCTGATTTTCACACAGAAAAAGACCCACCCTGACAAGATTACGCATGAGGAGGAAGATGCCGTGAAAGACCCTGCTATCAGAAAATCCATTAAAGAAGCTGCGGCTGAATTTGAAAAGACGGAGGGGAGGGGACAAATCAAGGTGAGCGCTACACCTGTGATAGTTCAGTTTTTATGTTATATGTAATGTTGGTCTGCTGAATTGGTGTGTTTGCTCTGGGATTTTTACTTTTCTCTTACTAGACAAAAGTTCAAATTCTGTCTCCAAGGTACTGCCAGATAACTTCATCTTTGTTTGGTCCACATAAAACTTTTATATTGCAGATGGGGCTAAAAGTCTCCCATGTTTACATTCGAGGGGTGGGTGCACTTAACAATATGTTGGATTTGATCATTTTCTGTTCCCGTTGTCACATTTAGGTGATCCTCAGGGAGCCCTTTGACATTCCTGCTTTTAAAGGACTACGTAAGTTATTCTGCTCTGTTTGCATCCAATGTTTTTAAGTTCTCAAAAACTAAGATCAGCTTCTCAGTTTAAAAAATAAATAACAATTTTTCCTACTTAGCTGGGGTCAAAGCTTAGCTTAGCATTCAACAACACTAAAAGATTTCCATTATTTCGCATTAGTTGTTAATTTCACACATCCTTCCATCACAGGCTCTGCTATTCCTAAAGCCGGGCCTTCACCAGCTCCAGGAATGGGACAAATGGGGCCACCCTTTGGCGAGTTCTTTGTGATTGACATTAATTTTCTCAGTGTGCATGAATATCTCTGTTCTATTAAAATAAAAATATGTGAACTGAAATGTAATAAACCTGAATCTCACAGGTCCCAGGTTCTCTGAATCAAGATTCCCAGGGGAGTTTCATCCTGATTATCCCGTAGATGAATTTGGGGAGTCCGGCTTTGGAGGCTACTCCTCCAGGGAAGACTTTTCTGACTCTGGTATGGATCGGGGAAATTTCATGGATAATATGGGTCGCGGTTCAGGTAGTGGAAGAGACACCTATAGAAGGAGTGGACTGCTGGATGAACGTCCAAACAAAATGTATTCAGGCGAGTACCAGGGCAACCGGATGGGTAGTAGCTTGATGGACAGACCAATGGACAGGCCGGGATTAATGGGGGCAGCTCCAGAATCTAGCAGCCTTCCCCATACTTTGCTCACATACCTGGTAGGTTTCTTACAATAGGTTTAAAGTCAGCATCTTTTTTTCTTTTTTTTTTATATTCATATTTATATTCAGAAAGTAATTTTACAAAATGTGTTTTTAGGATACTTTCAGGATAGAGAATGAGAGCGATGCCCAGCTGGTGCTGAAGGTGACGCAGAAACTAACAGATGTGCTGATGGAGTATCGACTCAGGAGTGTTTCAGGGGTGTGTTTTGAGTTGTTGCTTCTTCTTCTTTTTTTAACAGTATCTATCCTAGAAATAATTTTGAAACCAAACACTAAAGATCAGCCTTCAAACCTTATTTGGCGAGCTGAGTACTAAAGTTCTAATTTAATTTTAACCATTTCAGCTGTGTGCACTAGGTTTCCTTTGCTCTGAAAGGATGAGCAAAACCAGATTTACTTTTTCAGATGTTTCACTTGTCCCTCAGATTAAAACATTTATTTTGTGGCATCTGTTTCCTCCTCAGGGGCCCAACAGCTTATCATTGAGTTCCACAAACTTCTCTTCACCCCCTAGAATGCAAAGCAGTAGCAACCGATTCTCAGGTGGCCTCTCAGGTATACATGCACCTTCTCCCAGACTTTTTATGACGGATCCATGGCTCAAATATCAAGGACTGTTAAATGAAGGACTCCAAAGGAGTGTGTGGCATCATTCTTTGCTGTCCACTTATTAATAGTTTGCTTTTTTTGCAGGTCCATCCCGATACAATGACGGTCCGCCCAGGTATTACAAATAAGAGATGCAACAAGTCTGTCTTCTCATCTTTCTGTACTACATGCACAGGGGTCATTGTCCAGATGTTGATTTCATGTACTTTTGAAAAAAATATATATTTTCATGCACTGGGTTTTCAGTCTTTTGCTGTCCTTGTTTTAATTATGTTTATTTCTTCATAATATGGCAAGATTTATAACGTGGAAGGATTTACATGTCTGCTGTTGTATCCAGCAACTTTACCTGATCATTTTAGTTTAAGTTTCACAGCGATTAAAAGCTATTAATGGACATAAAGATATGTTTGTGGTTGATTTCATGTCCCCATCAAAGTATTTCCAGATGCTGACGGATCCTCTAGGTTAGGAAGTTGTATTTGAGACCTTCCTTGTGCAGTATCGGACACAAATAACTAGCTCGATTGGTTTCTTTTCATCTTGGGTGCAGGTTCTGAAAGTTCCATCTTCCATCCAACAGGGATTTTTCCATTGGCAGTTGTATTTGGTGAATAAATAAACCAACAAAGTATTTCAGGATTTATTTTAAACAGTACAAATGATTTATGAACAGGAAGGTATTAGAAAAGCAGAATCATGTTTCATGCAAGAAATGTTGCCACAAACAGAACTGGTCAAAAACTTGAATGAATAAATGAATGAATGAATAAAGCTTTGAACAGTCTCGCACAGCTCTGTCCACATTAGAGCGCTGTCTAAAAATTGTCAAACTTATTTTGTCAAGATGTCCTCCATCTGCCTCATGGTAATGCACGTCAGAAGCACCTTCGTCCCCAGAAAGTCTTTCCCGTGGAGCCTCTGAGCCAGCGCAGCAAGCTTCTTTGACTTAAACTGAATCACGGCCTCACCGATGCCACTTCCCTCACTGTTGCGCAGTAACGCAATGTTGTCCTTCTTTATTTTGTACTTGCTGAAAAGGCTTTTGATTTGATCTTTCTGCACATCTGCCGGCATGTTTCTTATAAACAGGCAAGTCTTAGCTTCCAGGCCCATGTCCGCACCCAGTGACCCCTCAGAGGCATCAACTAGGCCAGATTTCCTCTTTAGATTTGGTTTCGTTCTTGGGTCTTTGGGCTTTAGACGATGCTTGAGACTTTTAAGATGCATTTTGCTCATCTTTTCTCTCATTGCCTCCTTTGTGATTGATGAGACTGTAATAGTATTGGAGCCTACGTGGCAGCCAGTGAGATTCATTGCATAGTCGAAATCTTCAGTTCGATTAAAAAGGAGAAAAGCAGTGTCTGTTCTGTTGCCTTCTTTGTCGAGCAGATGCAGTACATTTTTGTGTGGAATGGTTGCACATCCAAACAACTCTTTTATTTCAGTCTTGGTCATCGTTTTTGGCAGATTGCTTACCATAACAATGTACTCCACAGCTGGAGTTCCTGACTCACTGTCAACTTTTAGCTTTTTTGGTCCATTAGTTAGCAGCTGGTTGATGGACTTCCTCTTGGGGCGCAGTACAGAAGCAGATTTTTGCCTGTGGTTTACACTTTCTTTAAGAGGGTACTGGTGGCGTTCTTGTATCGCCTCAACATCAACAGCATCTTCACATTCCTGCAGCGCGCTATTCCATATCTTCTCACACGCTCCACGAACATCCACGCAGAAGGGGCCCAGTGATTGCTGGTTAAAGTTAAGAGCAGCACTTGCATCCTGCATTGTAGCAAACTTCACAAGGCAGCCATGGTTTAATCCCAACCTCACATTTACTATGGCTTCCTGTACAGTCAGCCCTCTGAAAAAATGGCAGATATCATCTTTTGTGGTTGAGGGTGGCAGACCAAAGAGCCTGACGTAGCCTGGCTGTGAGTTTAGAGTTTGCTCTGGTGTCCTCTCCTCTTTCCCTACAGCAGCAGGACAGTCTGCGATGAGGACATCTCTTTGGTGGGTTGGCTGAAGACCTTGGAGAACAGTACAAATCCCAAGAAGAAAGGCTGCACTGGGATCAAGAGATTGTGCATCTGAAGTCTGTATATCTGCAGGACTGTGATGAACATTCTGTGCCTTCACAGATAGATTTGAACTAGCACGACTAACTGGGTATGTAGAAGAAGGTGAAAGACTTGCAGTATTATCGCGAGGCCTAGTATTTGAACTCATGCGATTTACAGCGGCACGTGGTCGCAGTCTAACAGCATGGTGGGAGGCTTTCTTCTTCTCCTTTAAAACTGTCTCTAATCTATGCTCCAGCTCTTCCATCTTGCTTATGTGCAGAGTCACCTTAGAGCCTTTGAGTACATTTCCAGTCAGCCGCATGGCCAACTGGGCCTCTCTTTCTGTGTTGAATGCAATAAAGGCCTCTTGGAGCCTTCCTCCCACAATGCACACTCCACCATCAGGAATTCGCACAGAGCCAAAGAAAGCCCGAATATCTTCAATACCCGCCTTGGCATCCAGACCTTTCAGTCGCAGGATTATGGTCATTTTGCTGCTACCAGGTCACCAAGTTATGAGATACCTTTAAAAAAAGTGAGAGAGAAGGAAAACGGCTGAAATGAGCCAAAATATGGGCTGTGTGTTAGCATACGACCACGAAACGCACATTCAGTGAGAACACGTGTCCTGCTGGTGGAAAGCAAAAGAGAAGGCGCAGGAAAAACACGTTTTCTTCTTTCCTTGAAATCCGAACAAATACTCACCACAGCCACTCACAACAGATACTGGTTAAAAGCTGGCATGGAGGGCGTTGTCACTGCTGTAAACCCGACTAAACTTTTAGTCATGGACCCATGCTTAAAATCTCTTTTGTCCCGCCTCTCCCGCTTAACCCCTTACCCCGTTGATTTTTTTATAGACTTACCGCCACCTGCTGGAGGGGAGCGTAACTCCTGGGAGAACTGGTACATCACTGTACATCAAAAATAATCTGCATGACATTGCCCTCAGCTCTCTTTTTTCCAGTGTCCTCGTTGATTCAACACAATCATGTCCTGTGAGCCTAAACATATCCCCGTTTCTATGTGTGTGTTGTTGTTGTTTTTTTCCAAATAAAATAAGAGCAAAAGTGGTTTCAGCAAATTACTAAAGTGCAAATTATTAAATAAAATTAGTAATTTATCCATAAAAAGCTAGAAAAAAAAACATACCTTGAGTGTTGGTTTCCTAAACTAAGAATTGATCCGTCATGAATTTGAAAATGAGTAAGTTTCAGTTATTTACCTGAACTCTCTTTGTAAGGCTTGTGCATCTCCTATCTGCTCTCCTGTTTTAAAGCGTTTCACTTAAATCTTTAGATTTTTAAAATCTTACTTGATCACTAAGAGGTGCGGTCTCTCCTCCCCTGAGGTCTATGCCGATATATTAACATACGTACTTTGTGTAAGGAAGTGGAAATGCAAGATGCAGCTGCAGATTATGTTTCCTGTCAAAAGTCCCGTATGACTCACACGTTAAAACCCAAACAAAAACAAGTAATTACTACTTTGCAATAGGTGTATTTTCTAAAATCTTGCTCTTCTGAAAAGCTGGTTAGATCTTCAGCTTGTGTTTATCAGTACCTTAAGCAGTGAAGGTTTTCAATGTGCCTATTTGCAGTGAAATCGGTGAAAACACCCTTATTTATTTTATTTTAAACTACCCGCTGTGGTGGCCTCTTGTGAATAAAGGAGCAGATCAAAGTAACTTTATATTATTTAGAACAATGTAGGAGGCAGGTGTAAAAATTAAAGCTGAGTTTAAATACTTTGGGTTAACCATCCAAAGCAACAGACCGTGCACAAGAGAGGTAAAGAAGGGCGTCCAGACAGGGTGAAGTAGAGCAGCAAGTGTGAAAGGGGAGGTGGCAAGGTTTAGAAGACTGCCGTCAGACCTGCTATGATTTATTGTACTTACAAAAGACAGGAGACCAGAGCTAAAGGTATTAACGTTTTCACTGGGAGGGATCGGACTGGACAGAATTCGAAACATTTACATTTAAGTACACATTTGAATAAAGTTACAATCAAATTAAAATAAAGTTACATCTCATATATGAAGAAAATCCACTTTATGAATTTATAATGGAGCTAAACTAATGGTCAGATTAATACTAATTAATTTCCCCTAAAATAAAAAAAGTATTTTATATAGAAATCTTTTAAATGAATTTAACTGTTTTATTTCAGGTATGGGTTGTTGTTTTTTTTTGTTTTTTTTACTCATTTGCGTCATCACGTCATCACGTCGCATAAAGCACTGTGGGTAAAAAAGGGAAGAACGTTGTTTACCATGGCGACGGAGACGCTACAGTTTGTCGTTAACAGACACAAAGTGCCTGTAACGTTGTTTATTTTAATGTACATCGACGTCCTGCGGTGCCAGCCGTTCACCATCCCCTTCAGGACTCCATCAGACTGCGGCGCGGAGGAGTTTTTCGATATTTCGAGTTTGTCGTGTGTGAGGTGCGGTCCAAATCAGCGGCGGAGCACAACAGGTCGGTTAACCTCACCATCATCACACCGCATCACCGGAATCGAGCAAACGACGCCACTTTGAAAATAAAAGTGTCTTACCGTTAATCAAATAAAGTTTAAGTCTAACCACAAAGAAGCCAAAGTAAGCTAGGGTGCTCGGTGCAAAAATAATGAGCTCAGGAGCTAGCACGCTGCTGAGATAAAGAGGTATGCACGGAGTCTGTTTGACGTTAAGTAAAGTTAGACAGCAGGTTTGAGCTGAAATGCAAGTAATGCTGAACAGAGCTGATCACATGCAAATAATATTATTTCAAACAAGAGCACAAAGCAGCCAGGTGCGCTTGGAGAGCACAGGAGGACACAAACACTGCTTACAGAGGAGTCCTGCTTGCTGTAAGCCTTCTGACTTGTGATAATCTGAGAGGAAGCTAAATAGATGGCTCTTTTATAATTTATCATTCTCAAACTAATGACGGCTTCTGACATGAGCACCGTTCATGTTAGAAGCCTCCGTTTTCCCACAGTTACCGTTTGCTGTGTATTCTCAACTACTGTGGATTACTTTGATCATAAAGAAATCTTATTGCCAATTCAACCTTATTTTGTAACATATAGGTCTTCATTTTAGTTGTACTTCTTTTCCTTCTTTCTTTTAGCTGGTCCCCTTAGGGGGTCACCAAAGCAGATCATCTACCGCCATCTCACTGTGTCCCTGCATCCTCCTCTGTCACACCAATCCTCTGCATGTCCTCTCCCATCAATAACCTCTGTGGTCTTCTTCTTTTTCTCTTACCCTGCGGCTCCACATTTGGCATTCTTTGTCAATTGTACCCACTATCCACCCTCTGTCCAAACCATCTCAGCCTTGCCTCACTAAGTTTGTCTC